CAATCATAAACATATATTTACTAAAGCGTAAATAAAATAATGAGACTCTTGAGGTTGAATATTATAAATTCATAATAAATACAATCGTGGAAAATCCAGCTTTTCTACAGAAAAAGCTCCTGAAAGGTCTTCAAACTGTTCCCTTTGTCTGCGTCTGTCAGACTGCGCTGTTTTTCTTTTACATCTCTTTATTCGTACAATACCCTTTTAAAATCTATACATATAATAAATTTCTAAATGAGTCTAATCTGTATATTAAATATTTTTTGGTGAATCTTATTGAAATAGTCATTATTATCGATACAGAGGCCGAATCTATAGTTTTTAGAATTTTTGTCTGTCTGCCTATCTGTCTGAGAACGCATCACGAAAAAACCACTGGGCAGATTTTGATGAAATTTTGTATGATGATAGCTGATTATTCGAGCTAACATATAGGATACTTTTTACTGCGGGAAAATATCTCATCTCTGAGAAATCTATACTAAACGTTAAAACGTTAGCCGGGCGGAGTGAGCTAGAGTCGCTAGTGAAATATATAAAAATACCAATTTCCACATACAATTTTATGTGCATTTTCTATATTTCGTAGAGAAAGGATAACTGTTGATAATATGATATTTCAGAGTGTAGAATTGGGAACTATATAACAATCCGGATAACTTATGCTAATTATTTTTATCATTATACGGCGGTATTTCTGCCAGAAGAAAAATGATTATGCAAAGTGGGCATCAAGTCAAATTGCACCTTTAATATATAAACTTTGTCAATAATTATAGGCTGGATGATGTGTAAGGTGAGTATGTACGGACTTGTTTGACATTTATGTCTTTCGCATTTAATCAATCTTCCATTTACGTGAGTGCAGAATAAAGATATTTAAAATATCGTGTGAAGTAAGATTCCTTAAGTCAGATAAAAATTGTTTTTAAGTTTACACTCTTGTAGTCTTCGTTCGTATAGACTCAATAAACATTGACCACTCGTAATATGGTTTTCTTTTGTTACTATACTTAAATAAAATGTAAAAAGGCTACATTTGAATTTGCTTTACACGCGTAAGACATGTTAAACAGAAACATGTCAAGAATTGTATCGATAGCAATTTTCATACGGAACGTCCCATCCAAAATCGAAATGTGACTGAACTAGTCTTATAGAAAAACCGAATATTGATAGCAATTTTAGATATGTACACTAAACATGGGTAGGACCGTTGTCGCATCGAACTAGCGGGGCGGCGCCTGACCATCCGTAACGTGATCCCATTGTGGAAATACAAGTCAAACGGAAACGGGCGTGAGGCGACTCACTGGGTATCCGCTCCATCGCTTTCTCCGGGCTTTAGCTCGACTGTTAGTTCTCACGGAAAAGGCTACCAAGAAAATGGGGTTTGCAGAGATAATTGTAGAAAGTTTAAAAAACAGTTAAACCTCAAACTTTAATAAAGGGTTCAAGTACATAATATAAATATTGCGACTTTCAAAAAAAAGTCATGTCGACCTCGGCAAGCATACACAGAGCAGGTTCTTTGGAAATTTAATGTACTCAACCCCGAAAAGGTTTGCAGGTCATTTCAGTCTAAGCGCTTGCTATTTCAGAGAGCAAATTATGAAATTAAAATATAAAAAAAAACAACCCTAGCGAAAAGCGAGTTGAATCATGTTCTAAATATGTTTTCACAACCAAGGGGTTTTTTTGCCATGTGAGAGTAAACTCAAGCTATACTTAGAATATGAGTCGTAAACTTACGCGAATGACTGAAACTTGAGTAAGCTAGAGCGTTACACACTTGGCTATTTTAAGTTACAATCAAATGAGTTACGCGTTTGTTTACACTAATTTGCACGGACTGATATAGTTTAATTAACCAATTTAGTCTTTATTTTATTGAAGAGACGCAGAATGTTTCCATGCAACTATTTTTAAATGTCTTAACAATATATAAACTAAACATTAGGTAACATCTATCTATATATTAATACGGGAAGAGAAAACTTTGAACCCCTTTTTAAGAAATTGCATATACGGAGGAAGATGAGCGTTGACATTGTCAATATACAGAGAAGAAGTGCAGAAAGCCAAAATTTATTGACTTTCTTTTACCCGCGAATCTGCTCGCGCATTTTATTTATATACTAGCTAACCCGACAGACGTTGTCCTGTCTACACGTCTTTAATTTGAAAATTTCAAACTTTTTTTAATAAGCTAAAACATTCTGGACCATTTTGATGAAAATTATTATTCAAATTGTGAATCTAAACCATTCTCAGATCCCCTTGAACACACACAAAAAATTTCATTAAAAATCGGTCCAGTCGTTTGAGAGAAGTTCAGTGACATACACACTCACAGAAGAATTATATATATAAAGATAATTACTTCAGTGCTATAAGATGTAGCATGATGTTACGTAACCTTTATTAATATTATACGAGTACGTACATAATATAAAGATGAAAAGTTAGTTTGTTTGTAAGTGCAAATCCCTGAATCTATGGGCCCGTTTCAAAATTCTTTTGGATTTTGTAGGCTTTCTATATAACTTTGAAAAAAGAATCTCAATATCGATCAAACTTATTGAATTATGGTTGATTTTCAACTACGAGACGATCACTACTTTAAATAAATTGGTCAAGTACGAGTCAGACTCGCGTGGGAAAGTTTATTGTCTTTTATTGTATAATATATGATGACTATATGACTAGTCCTCTATTTTTCTAATACACGCACTATGAGCCCTAGTATAAATATTGTTTTTTTATATTTATATTTTGTATCGATACTTTCGGAGAAAGGAGAAATATTCAGTATAAGCCCGTGACTCGTCATGAGATTTCAATTATTAAATTTTTTCACCTACTTTCTTTAAAACTACATTTGAAGAAAGTTGTTGATAGGAGTGATCTTATTTGGCAATTTTATATTATTACCTACAACATATATAGACAAAACCAAAAAAATGCAGTAAATGACTGAAAATACGTCGAGGGTATCATGTTCTAACCACCATTCAATATAATTGGGAACGCGTATTCGGAAGTGACGTGTTATTTAACAGCTCGGATGACAAATACACAAAGGTAGACTATTAGGAACGAGGGAGTGCCATCGATCAATGATACTTTAACGACTTAAGCCTTCGGTTATTTTTATATTAAAATTTTTTGATACCTTTTCTAATATTATAGAGGAAAAAGTTTTTTTGTTTCTTTGTTTGTATCGAATAGGCTCCGAAACTACTGAACCGATTTAGATGAAATTTGGTAAGAAGATAGTTTGAAACCCTGGGATGGACATAGGATAGTTTTTATCCCGCAAATCATCCCTTAAGGGCGTAAAAATGGGGGTGAAAGTTTGTATCGGAAATCTTCATAACATTGTATAATTTATAGTAAGTATGTATAAGATAATATTTTATTACTTTAGGCTAAATAAAATTTAATTGGACCCGTGTATGGCCAATATATGTATTTTCCTTTGATAGAAATCATACCCGCGTCGTATCCCAGATAGACCTTTACATCGTACTACATAACTACATAATAGTTAAAATATTAATTAAACAAGCATGTTTGAAACTAACATGACCAACTAAGTACTTATTGTAAAGCGTACAATAATAATTGCATATAAATGCAAAATGTAGGAATTCCTTGTCCTGCTAATATGTAATTGTAATACATCTACATACATGTATAGTACATATTCATAAAACAAGGTTGCAAACAACTGGCTCTGCATGCTAAACCGACTATAAAATGACGCATCTGCAATTTCTATGAGTGGAGTCTTTTGTTTAGAAACAAAAGCCCCTAGCTCATATTTAAAACTTTTACAAAATCCTCCCTGGAATATTTAATTACTTTTAATTTGCTAGTTCTGACCTAATATTTTTTTTCAGTACTAATAGACTAGTGGATGTTTATATCTAATCGAAAAATTTGGATCTGTATAATTGGTTGTCTATACATATATGTAATAAAATTGTAACTAAGCCGAAGCTGTACATTAAAATTTTTTTGGAAAATCTTATTGAAATAAACATTATCATCGATATAGAGGCCCAATCTATAAGTATTTAGATTTTTTGTCTGTCTGTCTGTTACCGCATCACAGAAAAACTACTGGAGGGATTTTGATGAAATTTGGTATGGTGATAGCTGGTTGTTGACCCGGCAACATATAGGATACTTTTTACGGCGAGAAAATATCTCATTTCTGAGAAAAAATACAAAAACTGCAATGTAGGAGTATACTAATATGTAAAACCTAAGAATTTGGTTTTTGGTCATCTGAACGCGGGCGGAGCCGCGGGCAATGCTAGATTATTATAAAAACTATATTTTTTTTGTTGTTGCACACAAATAATATTTTTTCAAACCAATTATTTCTTAAAAAACATTAACATTGGAAACTGTTATTGGTTTAGTTTAGTTAACGAATTTCTATTCTATATTTTTTGTTAATACCATTTGTTTCCAAAAAAAAAATCAGGTAGTCAGTTATAAGATGCTGAAAAACTTGCTTAAACATTAAGTTACATTTAGCTCATTTTATATGCATGCATATATTATTTTAATGCCTATCTCCAAAGGGGGAGGAGTCAAAACTAGAAATATATTTTATGTAAAGGCACGTTTTCCATTATACATGCCTATATAAATATTCAAAGTTATTTCGGATTTTTAATCAATAACTATGAAAAACACAATTATTATGATATTAGTTGATTAAACTTAGTCGATATGCATTTGCACAATATATTTATATATATGTATAAAATATAAGTATAATTAATGATTGTGTCACACAGAAAGCAAAAAACAAATTTTGCAAGCACAGTGAACCCACATGCAAACATTGCTACAAAACATTCCAATTGTCAATCTGATGTCTTTCTGTTAATATGTTGGGGTTAAGTGAAATTCATGAGAGTTTTCAAAACTTTGCAGTAGGTTATGTCAAACGAAGCAAAGCAAGTGTGGTTTTCTACCTTCGTTTGGTGGCTTCGTTTGACCACTGTTACTTTCTGTATGTGCTAGTAGCGTAGTCTTGGACTTCTCTAATGGCCTTCGCGCCTTAAGAGGAGACTCCGTAGGTTTTTTGTCACTTCGTTCAGGCTCACTCTCTACGCCCAACTTACTGAGGGCGACTAGGTTTGCTACATTAGGGATAACATTTACTTTTATTAAACCTTAACATTATAATAGTGTGTGATTATATGAGTATTTATCTCAAAAAAAAAAAGAAAGCTCATCATGCCATAAACAGCCAAGTTCAGTTGTACAATCCAATCACAATAAACTAAGTAGGCTTAAAATAATATATAGCCGTGTAAACAATGAACACATACTAATAAAATAAATAAATATTAAGATAAGGTTTTACCAAGAAAATGCAATCGGTCCTTAGCCATGCCTAGGTTGGTTTTCATTTTATCGTGTAGCTTTTGTGCCCGTTGCCAGGCATCACCTCGTCCCCCCCAGCAGTCAACAGCTATGCCTCGTTCCAGTTCATAAATACCTTTCTTGTACAGCTCTATTGCTAATTCTTTTTGCCCTGTATTGACAAATTACACCTACTTACTGGTCTAATAATATGAGGCTAGATTTACTCTTTTCTATTGCTATTTTTTATGAATAAAGGCAAAAAAGCTTATAGCTAAAATATTTAACTAATACTAAAGTACAACACATTTAGTTACAGAAAAACAATAATTTAAGTACAAAGAAGCCTTACCTTCATTCTCTTCATCAATCTTTAGTGCTTTCGAGATGTACTCAAAAGCTTTTCTGTGATGATGTTTCTGTTTTGCCAGCAGTGGGTCCCCTGGACCCACATTGTTTACATATGACATCTCCTCACTGTTCGCAATTTCAGTAGACACAACACCGTCTTTTACAACCACCTCTAAGTTACATTCACCGTTTTTACGAGGCCTATGAATAAAACGATGGGACGCCGAGTATAAATATTTAAAAATAATAAATAACTGGTATAAAATGGATCTCAGTAAATTAAAAAGAATAATAATAGGGAATGAGACCACATAAAGATTTCTCTTGTGAACAGAAGGTTGCGAATCATTTCGCAACGCTGAACCCTTCGCTATGTCTGCATCAGTCTTCTTGGATTTTCGGTTCGGAGACCTAGTAGTTTTTCGCGGTAAACGACCACCATTGAAATCGTCACCGGAAACCATCAAGAACACTTAAGTCCCACCTGGTTCAAAACCAAATAGCCATATACTTTGCGACGAAGACACGCGCGGTTATTATTCTACTTATTAATCTAAAAACAGCAAGAGTACATGGTGATGACTGAAGAGTTATTGACATTTTTGACAGTTGCATCGGTCAATGGACAGCAATAAAAATAAGTGTGGTAAACTAAAAAAACATACAAAAGAATTAAGTAAAAAATAAAACATCGTTTAAAAGACAACGAAAAAGTATTGTTAACGTAAAAATTTATAAATAATGTAACACATAATATAATTAAAAGTATTATTTCAAATAATAAATTGTTTACATTTAATTCAATTCGAAACTTTACTACTCGTAAATAAACTCATACATTTATAGTTATGGGAAAGAATTTTGCTTTTTTCTCCCGACAGACGTCGCGATCATTATAATCCTCAGTATATTATAAAGTTCTGAGATGATTTTTTTCATTTTATATACAATCTAATTGACTTTACTGCATTTAAAAGACTGAATGTAAATAGATCATACGCATAGTTTCCTTTCAAGAATTCTTCCCATTATCCACGTAAGTGTGCAGTCCACGAATATAGCGAACTGTCAAAATGACGTCACTCTACTGATTTCGTTGAATCTTATTGGAATTTGATTTCGTCTTATTGGTAATAACTTTATTGTGCTAATTTTTTTTGTATTGTCTCTTCAAAAGATATGATGTCAATATGTAATATTAGCAAATATTATGTAGCTTCATAAATAGAAAATTATAGTATAAAGTTATTTACACAATTATGATAATTTTTTGTTTCTTTGGAGCGTCGTATTCTAAATGTTTTCGAACGTAATTTGGTTTTATTACTATATTTATTTAGCTGATTGTATTTTATAGTTAGTTTTAATTAATCAAAATACACTTAAAACTTTGTTATTCAAAGCTTAATATTATATCGTTATCGATTAAAGTAACTTTGTATATTTGTGTATTATTTCTAAAGTATATATTAAAATAAAGAAAAAAAATAATAACCTGAATATTTATTTACTTAATATTAAGAAAATTAAGCATGAAGTCCAATAATAAGAATATTTCATATTAAACCAAAATATCATAAAAGCTGGAAACAAAAGAGAGTCAATTCATTACAAATGATTCAATTTGCTGTATTTACGATATATTTGTGCATTACTTTTTAAATATTCCTTATTAAATTTTGAATGTTTTAATACCTAATATAAATATTGTTAAATTGTGTGTGGAGTTTAATTATAATGTTATCCAAACTGTATTTACTTCGAATGGGTACATTATAGCAAAGAAAACCACTAAACAGATTTTTTATAATAACTTGGAATTGTGTTATGAGTATGAGTGTTTAGTTACGAGTGCAGAATTAAACAACTTGTGACATATTTGTGTTTATTGACACATGTGACATAACATTTCACATTTGACAAAGACACAGTACGGCAATTTGGCAGTTTTTGCCGATTAACCTCGATAAAAGTCTTTAGTATTGTAGAAATAAATTACATCAGCTAAAACATAATTATTTATTTATAATAATAATTAAATTTTAAAATTTAAGCTTAGCTAATACTTATATATAGGTAAGCTATATCATATTATCATAAACAAAATTATTATACAATTTAAAACTAAGTTAGGTACACAAAATTCATTTTCTTATTAGATTATATGGTTAGCCCTAAGGTCTAGCTTACAATTGAAAAGGTTTTTATGCCTCACAAAATTGTACATAATTTCATAAATAAGTCTTGTAATTTAAAGTGTTTCTTTTCAGTCTTAAAAATGACAGAAGAGCAAGTAGAAAATCTTTCTATTAATGAGGAAGATGATGTGGTTGATCCTTGGAATGTAGCTGGGAAGTCCCAAACTGGAATTGATTATGATAAGTTAATAAGTAAGTCTATGATAATGTTATTATATATTATATTTGATTCCCAAGAAGGGTTGATGTCAGGCAGGCGGCTGGTTGTAAAACTTTTGCCAAATCCTATGAGCAGTATGGAAGACGTACAGCGCCAACCCCAAGTAATTGGGAAATGGGCAGGGAGATGATGATGATGATATTACATTTGATTTACATGGAATATTATTTCAGATTGCTTTCTTAATGAATGTTTTAATATAATTTTATTAATTTTTTAGAAAGGTTCGGTAGTCAAAAAATTGATGATGAAGTCATAGCAAGATTTGAGAAAGTAACAGGAAAAAAAGGTATGTTATAAAAATTTATATTAGTTGGTAAGCACTAAACCATTTTAAATTCTTTTGGGAACTAATTTACCTATTATGTATTCTAATCAAATTAAAGAATATTCTTTTATCTTGTACATTTTGTCAATTTTTGTTAAAAGTTTTAATATTTTTATTTTAGCTCACCATTTTCTTAGACGTGGTATATTTTTCTCTCATAGAGATATACATAGTATTTTAAATCTAGTAGAGTCAGGTAAGAAATTCTACTTGTATACTGGAAGAGGGCCCTCGTCTGATAGTATGCATATTGGGCATATGATACCTTTCATGTTCACAAAGTGAGTACTGCGTTAAATACAAATGAGTGTATATGTTCCATATATGATATTTTTAGATTGTTGATCAACGCATTTGTGATATTCCAGATGGCTGCAAGAAGTCTTTGATGTGCCCTTAATCATTCAACTTACTGATGATGAAAAAGTCATGTGGCGTGACATAAAGATAGAAGATGCTCGGCAAATGGCCTTTAACAATGCTAAAGACATAATCGCTTTAGGTTTTGATCCTTCAAATACCTTCATTTTTAATGATTTAGACTTTATTGGGTAAGGAAAAATATTTAAAAAACATTACGCTGTTGATAGCATACTTTATTCTCTAATAATAATTAGAATTTACTTGAAGATTTTAGTTATTTCTATCATTATTTACTCAAGACCTACTCATTGTTTTAGTACCTAAATAGATATTAAAGTGCATAAAATATTAATGCTTTGATCGACAAAAGATCTAACAGTGTATTTTACATTTTGATGGCACTTCTTTGCCTTTTTTCATTTTATGTATATTTTACATAATACTAAACTTACTTAAAATTTTTTAAGTGTTGAACAATTTGTCTTGCATTTAATAAACAATTGTCACTTTAATAGTTTTTAACCTAGTTAATTATAGAGAGTCACAAAATTTAATTATAAAAGTAAACCAACTGCAAAATGAACATACTGTGAGTCTAGCATGTCAGCTATGTGTATGTGTCACATAAACTGGTTTGCAAAACCGCTTCCTTCCATTTTGTTTTCTTTTCTAAAATTGCTATAATTTTTACGATACTCTCAAGCTGTTGACACAAAAGTGCAGGGCATTCTAAATTTGCGTTTTAATACATGTATCAGGGGAATTCTATTTCAGACAATATTTGTATGAATTTTAATAAGCAATTTTTTTCCAGCCAGTGTCCAGCTTTTTATCAAAATATGTTACGTATACAGAAATGTGTGACATTCAACCAAGTGAAAGGTATCTTTGGATTTGGTGATTCAGACATCATCGGAAAAATAACATTCCCGTCTATTGAGGCTGCTCCGGCTTTCTCCACATCTTTCCCATTTATTTTTGGAGATAAAATTGTAAGTAGTTTCAGTTTCAGTATTTAAATGAATATATTTTTTATAACTTAAATTACTGTCTACACCTCGTGCCTTCGGGGGAGGAAGCCCTTGCTCAGCAGTAGGATGTTTAAATTGTTGGATTTCTATATAGTTTATTTTATTAGCATAACAACATAATCTGTTTTCTCTTTGGTGCATATCTAAACGTTCCTTCAAAAGACTCTTAGTACTTTTTATCTAGATCAGTTCAGCGTAATTTTTAATTTATCCATTACAAACAAACTTAAAAGAATATAGTTTTCTTTTTATAATAGTATGGACATGGTGTCTCATTATGAACAAAGAAAAATTAGTTCAAATGAATGTCAATAGATGATGTTACATGTATAGGTTTGTTATTAAAGTTGTGTTCAATGAAAAAAGAATAAAAAAAATAGTTCTCAAAAAGGTGTATTATTGTTCTAAAAAATATTATAACTGAAGTAAAACGAAATATTGCGCTCGTAAATCAAATTTGTGTATTTTTATTGATTATTATGAAATATCCGCAACTAGATGATAGCTTTGTAGTGCCTTATTTTTTAACATATTCTACTAATAAATTTTACAATATTTATCATACTTTAGTTTGCACATATTTAGAAAATAAAACAGTTTAATTTTATGCTAAATCAATGACATCTATTATTTATTCAAGCAAACAAAAATAGCCCGAAGAATAGCCCGAATTAGCGCTGTCCATTTTTTGTATGAGATGAGGCATCTGTACTAGGGTAGTATTATGTGATCTGAAGTATGTACATAACAGTAGTGTTTCGGGTGCAGTTGCCGTGCCTGGTGCCGTGCGCCATCGACCAGGACCCGTACTTCCGGCTGTCGCGCGACGCGGCGCCGCGTCTGCGCCTGCCGAAGCCCGCGCTGCTGCACGCCGCCTTCCTGCCGGCGCTGCGCGGCGCCAAGCACAAGATGTCTGCCTCCGACCCGCACGCCACCGTCTTCCTCGACGACACGCCCAAGCAGATCAAGAATAAGGTGGATACCCTTTTTTTTAATGTTGGGAAATGCATTTACGCACTTCACACTTCCTTCAACTTTGTGAAATAGTTTTATGATTCTACAGATGTTAAATAATAGTTTTGTTTAGTCTATATAACCCAAAAAACACTTCTTATTGAATTTGGGTACGACAATATTCAAATCGATTAACAGTAATAGCACCTTCACCACGATAAACTTTTCCGTAAATTCTAACATACAACGCAATCCAGTATCTCTACATTTATTAAATCGTAAAATACTCAATAAAATGACAAAACACTTTTCTGAATACGGTTTAATGGAAATTATATAAATAACTAATAACTCACCCTTGCTTCGCTCGGATTCGTCCTTAGTGAAATGGAAATACACATCTATTCTACCACAGGAATTATGCATTTTCCCGGGATAAAAAGTCACTTATGTGCTATTCCAGACTATAATCTATTTCTGTGCCAAATTTCATCCAGATCCGTTCAACCATTCCGGCGTGATTGAGTAACAAACATCCGTCCAAAGTTTCGCATCTGTTGTTGTTGTTGTCAACCCTTGTTAACGTCCCACTGCTGGGCACGGACCTCCCTTTAATTTGAGGGAGATCAGGCCATAGTCCACTTCCGCATTTATAATATTATATAATTAATGAATGGGATTAACTAATTATTAGTCTACATACGTTGACAGATAAACAAGTACGCGTTCTCCGGCGGGCGCGACACCGTGGAGGAGCACCGCGCGCGCGGCGGCGACGCCAGCGTCGACGTTTCCTTCAAGTACCTAACTTTCTTCCTCGAAGACGACGACAGGCTCGCTGAGGTATATTCTCGTCGGAGGACACAAAAATTCAACAAAATAATGTTTATTTTGTGGGGCCTATGAAAAAAAAACAAAGTTTAGATAATTTTAAAACGCAGTTTTAGCTCTAATCAAAGCCAGCCTCGTGCAATATGGCAGTGTCCATTTTTTTAACGTTGGGAAATGCATTTACGCATATCACTTGCATACTATACAAGTGGTTATGTGGTACTGACAGGTTGGAAAAGCCTATAGTACCCACTAAAACCCAAACGGACCCTCTCCCCTCTTAATGGGGCATCACAGGATCGCTTACGCACTTAACTAAGACGCCCCGGCGGCAGGCCAAAGGGTTGCTCCCACGGTCCACTCTGCCCAGTACCGGAAGCAAGCAAGCATATTGTACACTACCCACCGAAGTGGGCCACCTCCCAGTGTGTCTCTTGGCTTCGCGCCCGGCTGGGTTGCCGGACGCTAATGAGCTTCCACCACGACAAGGTGAACTCGCATCGAAAGCGGGGCCATATTTTAATCACTTTAAAAATCCATGATATCGGTCATACTAATTAAACAAATTATTATTACCTTTTTAATTTAGATTATTAATTAATATATTATTGTTTTTACAGATAAAGAAATTATACGAATCAGGCGAAATGTTAACCGGCGAGCTGAAGAAGATCGCCATCGACACGATCACGCCCATCGTGCAGGAGTACCAGGCGCGGCGCGCCGCGGTCTCCGACGACGTCATGAAGGAGTTCTTCGCTATAAGGAAATTGAACTTTTAATAACAAATATTTAACGTATAATTATTGTTTATACAATTTGCGGCCCGCGTATTTGCTCACTCTTAATTTCATGAATATTTTTTTTATATCGCCCTTTAAAGAAAATTATAACTTTGTTGGCTATTTTAGTTTCTTTTTTTATTTTTACAATTCATAATTTGTGAATATTAAAATTATGTGAATGACATAATAAATATGTATAATTTTATATGCATTTTAAAGTATTTTACACGTTCCATTATATGCGAACAGTACTAATTTATTTAAAAATAAAGTTAAAAATATTGTTGATGTTACAATAAAAATTCCAAATAAATACTGCTTTGGAATAGTTAAATAAAAATCATACATAATATGTAAAGAGGAAATAGGTTTTGACACTGCTATTACACTTCCTTATTTCGTTTTTCCGTATTGTCTAAGTATCAAGACAGTATGTTGCTTACAACCTGCGACCATCAGTGCCGAAGGATCAAAGTACACACTTATGTCGCTCGTCGATAAAGCGATGATTTGCTTGCATTTGAATAATTACAAAAAGCATTTTGTTTTACATACATATCTTTAAAATTTAATAAATTCCTAATGTTTTGATGCAAAAGTATCATTAGTGTTATTTTATCTTCAATTTTTATTTACATTATTTGTAAATTGCAATATTCTCTGTACATAAAATACAAACTTGCAAACTTCTTGTAAGGCCTTATTTATTGCGGCTGTGCTTAAAGCGTAAAGTATTTATTTTGGCGAATAAATCTCAATTGAATAATTATTTAATAAGTGTTTTATTTATTTCCATAATCATTGAAATTATAATTTTATAAATAATGAAAACTGATTATAATGAAAGACAAGACGACTTTTTATGTATTAATCTCCGAGTCCAAATCTTAGTACCTTGTATATAGATTGTATAGATAATGGAATAGAGGTTGTCTTAAAAATGTTAATGTTTCGAGATGAACTGTTTTAAGGCACACTAAATGGTTTGTTTCGTTTTAATCGAATTTACTAATCTTATACATAGTATAAAACAAAGTCGCTCCTGCCGTTTGTACGCATATATCTTTTAAACTACGCAACGGATTTTAATGCAGTTTTCAGCAATAGGTAGATTGATTCAAGAGAAAGGTTTATATGTATAATAAATTCATATTATAACACAGAAAAGCCGAGAAATTCAAAGATTTGTATTTCATACTAACCGAAGCGACGGTGAGTCGCTAGTTACCATATAATATGTCAGAATGAAAAGCTTTAATGTGTCAAGGAGATACGCTTCCCTTGTATTGAACAGGTCGATTGTTAACTGTTACTACCAGTTCCAGTACCATACTTCTTTCTTATTTCATCTTGAAATCGCAATTATAGACCAGGCATAGTCGTAGTGACATCATATAGTCGTGACAAGGAATATATACAAAAATATATGTTGGGACATTAACACAGCACCATCTCGTTTCGTGGTAAGCTACGAGGCTTGTGTTATGGATACCAGTTGATACATTACACATACTCGTATATAACTTTTATTACATACATACATATTATAAATATAAACACCCATGACAAGGAGTAGAAACATTTGTCACACAAATGAAAGCCCCCAGCGGGACTCGAACCCGCGACCGCTCGCACAGCATTTGTATGTGTATGTTTATGTGTGTTTATGTTTGAGACTCTTTCACGTTGCAACAGCTAGACGGATTTCGATGAAATTTTGTATACAGATAGAGCTATGATGTAGTGAAGAATGGACCAATATTAGTATGTAAGTAATAAAATTTTCCTAAAGGTGCTGATGCCTATAAAATTCACACTCGCGTGCAACTGAATCGACTCAAGCCGTATATATAAGTTTGATTTTTCGGAAAATGGCTTATCCGATTTTTGTAAATGTTTTTTTATTCGAAAGACATATATTTTTTTCATAAATATAGCAATTTTCAAATAAACAATGACAATTTTTTTTAAATAAATACGGTCAAACATGAGCGTTACAGAAATTACTCGTTGCGGTGCCCACGAGTTACGAGACTAAATCCTGTATAAAAGCTCACGTGACCCATATTTCTTATCAGTCACTCGTCAGACGTTGACAGGTACACATCTCCTTAAGCTCCCAGTATTTTAATCGCAATCCAATGGACACTATACCTACTACCTCAGAAGCAGCGGCCCAAGTTGTAGCTTTGTTGCAAGCGGGCCATAATCAACGGCAAGTCGCTCGTAAACTTAACATGAGCCAATCAGCTGTTTCACGAGTATACAGGTTTCAAGAGACTGGTGGCTTCGTTCGGAGACTACAAACCAATAGACACCGGAGCACATCTGAGACGGACGACCGCTTCATTGTCTCAACTTCGTTGAGAAATCATCATCTCACGGGCGTTGATGTGCAACAGGAGCTCAGAAGGATTCGAAGAGTGGCTGCCAGTCAGTGGACAATTAGAAGATGCCTGAAGAAAGCCAATTTAACTCCTAAAAGGCCAGCCAGAGGCCCGAAACTGAGCGCAGCTCACCGTCAAGCCCGACTTCAATTTGCTCGTGAACACCTCAATTGGACTATTGAGCAATGGAGCTCCATTCTGATCACAAAGTGTCTCCATGGCAACGACAGAAGAGACTGAGTATTCAGGCGTCCAGGGGAACGGTTCTCGCAATGCTGTTTCGCTGATACAGTATCATATGGCGGTGGTTCAGTCATGATGTGGGCTGGAATATCATATGAAGGGAAGACCGAGCTTGTTTTCGTGCCTGGTGGTGGTCGGAGTGGTGGTCTAACAGCTCAAAAGTACGTGGAAAACATTCTCCTCGATTATGTTGTACCTTATGCAGGGTAGGTACATAGAAGATTTTCTATTGATGCATGATAATGCTCGGTGCCATACAGCAAGTGTTACTCGCCAGTTTCTTCAAGAGGTGCAAATTGAGACGATGATGTGGCCAGCCCTCAGTCCTGATCTGAATTGCATTGAGCATTTATGGGACGAGCTCAAACGGAGGGTGCGAGCTAGAGATACGGCTCCATAAGCATCGTCGAGCTCCAAACTGCGCTAAAGTAAGAATGGAATACGATACCTCAAGATTTTATCAAAAAAATTATAAAATCAATGAAAAATCGCATGCAAGCTAGAGGAGGCAATACAAAGTATTGAAAATTTTAATTTTCTTTACTTTTATCAAAAATATTTTTGTTATTCATTATGTTGTTGTTTTCATTTTTCTTCATTTTTATGCATATCTGTCAAATTAAATTTTACCACTAAATACTCAACCGATTTTTCTCATTAGGATAGCATTTTTTAAGGAGAAAAGATTAGGCTTTCAAACAAAAAAAAAACAAGAAAATCAGATAAGCCATTTTCCTAAAAATCGAACTTTTATACCAATATACGGCTTGAGTCGATTTAGTTGCACGCGAGTGTATAATATATTATTGTAATGTAAATACAAAGGACGCTTAGGAACGCACTTTGATTCGTCTATAAATTTGAATCGATTCTGCTGCATATTGTAATATACCGCACCTATGCCTGTAGTGTAGTCATGAACCTTCATTCAATGATATATATACATACATTATACAATATTCGTACATACATTTAACCGAGCGACACTGATAACTAGTACTACGCGAAATTGTTAAATTGTAAAGTTACATTATTTGAAGAATCTCATTAGCTAAGTATAATATGATCTGTGCTCATTAGCAATAAAATGAATTAGTTCAAAAAAATGATAATAGATGGCATTATAGGTATCGATATGTATTTGAGTAAAATAAAACAAGGACCTCAAAGTGGTTTATTCTATTTTAAAAAATACTTTAAGCAAATAAAAATAAAATAGTCTCTTTTTGACTCAAATCATCGATCTTTTGTATTGATTTTGTTTTTTCGAAAATCAGCCATTAGGTAGTAAGTTTGTACTATGTATTCATAGATGGCGCTGTTTAAATTTTATGACTTACTATCGACTCACCCTCGCTCCGCTTGGCATCGCCCCAAGTTGCTTCAAAAATTAGGGGTGGGGGTAGGAGGTGAAAAATATATTACGAACTATTTCCATACCTACTAAACCATACACAAAAAAATCATTAAAATCGGTTGAGCCGTTTTGGAGGAATGCGACCACAAATACCGTCCCACAAGATATTTATACCTACGAGTATATTCGACTTATTTTGGTAAAACACGATTAGTCATTGTTTATGCAAAATTTTATTGTAGTTGTCGCTAAAGTTGATATGTAGTAGGTAAATAGATATTACTAGGATTATAATTAGGAGTAAATAAAATTGAGATCTTAGCAAAAGAACTGTTCTTGTTTTTATTAGCACGGCTTCGTGATGATGAGACGCAAGTGTCGCCTTAGAGCAAGCAAAAACAATCTGCATTGAATTATGTATACATAGATATAAAGTAAAATAAGATTAATTAATTAAATTGCAATAAAATTCTCAAAATTGAAAAAAGATATTATGCTTCATATATTGACGTATGTATGTACATAATATATTTTACGTCGTAATATATTGGATTTATTGAATTTTACATTAAACCGAAAACGAAACAAATAGATTGTAACAATACAAAAAGATGAATTTTCGAACACTAAGAAATACACTTGTGTACACAATACCGACTTTGATCGTATATACATGACAATAGAGCACCAGAGTGGATGACACAGTTACACCTCACAACAGGTAGCCGTTGCACGAAATAAGTGGTATTTTGGAAATATTATAATTAACATTTCACCTAAGAACAGTTATTAAATCTTTTAGAGATAGATGTTTGAAATTCTAAAGATTTAGAACTTTCACCATTTTCCCTGGAAGCAATTGAAGGCATTAAGACGTGTATTTTAGAAAGAGTTTATAATGTACAGTGAAACATACGAAGACGACACGCCCCTCCCATTAATAACGAACTACACTGTGATTAAAGACACTGGTATAGAAGATAAGCGGGACTCAGAAGACCGAGTTATACTAGAGATAGGACGGCCAGATGAAAGGCTCAGGGAAGAACATACCTTTTCCCATAAGAAATACGACAAAACCATATCACATCATAGATCGTACGTTTTGGAGGAACACTCAGAACCACGACGGATTACTTATTTTAGGCCTCATGAGCTACAGTCACATGAAGGTTAGTGATTTAAAAAAAAATGATTCTAATATGATCCTAACAAGACACGAACAATGGCAATAAGTACATATGTGTACATTCACTGTATTGTACCTAATTAAAAATGATGAAATTATAACTTATTATTCGCCTATAATTTTGAAATATACCTACACTCTAGTAAGGCATAGAAAGTTATGCAAAGTCGCTACGTGATATAAATATATCGCATTTAAGTATTTTTTGTAGTGTTATTAATTTTCTTGAGATAATAATAATAATTTATTTCATGTAACAGGATATATTTTATAACTTATTATTATTGTTGTTGTAAGATCAATGTTCTCTTAGATTAGATACTTCGTTAAGACAGATGAATTTAAATTGATGGTAAGAAAGTAATTTCATTTTATGTTTCGTAAAAATAAAAATAAAACTTGAATTCTCCTAAACATTTGCTTTTAATTTGAGTTTTGCTTGTTACTATTTGTAACTAAAAATTAATAAATATGTTTCATTGGTTAAGGTGTAAGATACATTGAACGATTAGAAGATTACAGGGAAATGAGTTTTATGGATGCTGTGACGAGATCTCCGCTGGAGTTCTCCCAGGAGTCACAGGACACAGTCAAATTTTCTGATGACCCGGAAGATTCTATTTTAAATTGGAAAGAGAGAGCTCTGCAGTTGGAAAAGGGTAGGAGCTAGATTTTATTCTATGATTAGATTTTTGCCAGATATTATTAAAAGAAGTCCTTAATTAAATTAAAAAAAACAATAAATAGATTTATTTGACTTAGAGTAGGTAAAGGGCTAACATATATTTTTAAAGCTAATAATAATAATGTCCTCCTGATCAATTCTGGCTACGGCGGCCAATCTCACCAAGACTAGCCACATGCGCAGGCTGCGCAGCGCAGCGTTATATATAGTGCAGCGCGTGTGTGTGTACACGCAGACACAAGTGCACTCTCTATTCCTTTTACACGACCTGTGAGAGTTAAGGCGCAGGACTGACGGCTTTACGTGCTTTCCGAAGGTGCTACGGGAGTGCAACCAGGGCCGGATTAACCCTATCAAGGCCCCTAGGCAATGCAATTCTCGGGGCCCCTTGCGTTTAGCCTTTTCTGACTTTTTATAATACATTTTTTCTATTACAAAAGTCGAGTCGATCAGATCGACTCCTTTAGTATCCTGTTACTTCAATCTCTTATGTGATACTAGCGGCTCACCGTCGCTTCGCGTCGGGTTCGCCTCAAGAAAAACAATACAAATCTATCCTTCGGAATATCAACAAATCTATCCTAGTCGATGCGGGGCCCCTAGACAGTTGCCTGATCCGCCTAATGGATAATCCGGCCCTAAGTGCAACATTGCTAACTTCCCAACTCCGGGCTACTGCTGAGAATATTTTAACAGAAAATCTCAGTAATCAATCTTGGCCTGGCCCGGGACTCGAACCCAGGACCTCAGCATCTGCAGCCGTACATGCCAGCAAGTAGCAGCTAGACCACCGAGGTAGTTTTAGAGCTATCTAGTTTATAATTTATCCACAGAGTAAAAAAGGCTTAGTTGAAATAATCACATTTATTATTTTAAAAGTTTTTATTTTTTAAAGGTCGATAAAGACTAGGATTGATTTGACGAGTATCATGAATCGAATAATATAATGTTTAATTTTATTTTTATATTTAGAATACAAAAAGACAGCTTGCGATAGAGAGAGGACACGTATGAGAGATATGAATCGCGCGTTTGATTTGCTTCGCTCTAAGCTGCCGGTGACGAAGCCTTCCAAGAAGAAATACTCCAAGATTGAGTGCCTACGGTAAGGAAATCTACAATATTAAATATTATATCAAATACTTTCAGTTATAATTTCTGTTAAATAAAATAGCATAGTAGTTTTCTGTTTACTACATAAAATAATAAAAAGTGGGGGTAACGTCGATAAAAATAATTTGTCATTATTTTTAGGATGCTAAAATGGTAGTGTTTAAATGCTGATCTGTTCATATTATACATGACTTTATGTTGTTAATTTTACTCAAGAGACTATTATTTTAACAGTTATCCTTAATGTAAATTCCAGTATAGCAATTTGCTACATACGCCACTTGGAGTACATGCTGGCGGGGGGCTCGCAAGACGACAACGCGGCGTTTTTCGAGCCTCAGGTCACAGAGCTACGACGACAACATTAAAATCTGAAAAGGATCTATTTAATAAAAATATTTTTGTAACATACATTGTATTTATATGTTCACACTTCTATTTCCGGGCTAGATAGAGACAACAGAGTAACTCTACAATTCTAAACTCGCTTTACAAAACCACTTTTGTCTACACAATTATAGTCAGATAGTTAGATATATACAACTAAACTGTATCCTGTAGGTGTGGTACCAACTCCATATAAAGCTATATTCCAATTAAATTAAAAAATACATATTTTTATAGGGAAATGACAAAATAAAGAATATTATTTTGTATTAAAAAATATAATTTATTAAGAAATTTAAAATTGTTACAAAAATATTGTGTAAGCTACGTAAATACATGACAATATCAATATTGAGACGAAATTGCACAATGTCCAAAAATATTTATAGAAATTTTGTTGAAGCGTATCAAAGTTTAGCCAGCTTTCTTTTTAATTTTTCTCTCTTTGTCTAGTTCCGCTTGCCTCACTTCTAGAGCTTTGAGATAATCGATGTAAGCGCACTTCACTATTAATGGGACTTTTACAACACCTTGAAAGAGAGGTTAAGCTGTACATAATATATTATCGATACAGAAGCCGAATCTATAGTTTTTAGAATTTTTATCTGTCTGTCTGTCTGTCTGTCCGTCCGTCCGTCCGTCCGTCCGTCCGTCCGTCCGTCCGTCCGTCTGTCTGTCTGTCTGTCTGTCTCTTTGAGCGCATCGCGCATCGCATCACGAGAAAACTACTTGACAGATTTTGATGAAATGTGTTATGATGATAGCTGGTTATTCGGGTCAAAATATAGGATACTTTATACTGCGGGAAAATATCTTATTTCTGAGAAATCGACGAACCCGAGTGGAGCGAGGGTGCGTCGCTTGTTTATTTGTATAAATTGTTAAATATAATTTTTTAACTTATATCTTTATTATTTTTCTAAAAAAAAGTTTGGGTATCCATCCATTTTATGACCTTAATCAAATAGAAAAGCTTTGTAGTGCATACATTTCCTTGTAAAACAATTTTGTATGTAAAAAGTTTCTACCGAACCTTTTTGGATAACAATTTGTATGTATGCAACAATGACATTATCACAGTTTTATCTATTACCTGCAAAACACGTGGTCACAAAGCCTTTGTACATGGCATACAGCGGCGCAAGCAGACTTTCACTAGATTCCTTTCTCTGAAACAATAACATTTAAGCTGAATTATTTTTTTATATTACATATATGTTATAAATAAACGGACACCATTTACGCTATATACACGCTCTAATGTTACAATAAATATTATACTCAAGTTTGTATAAAGTTAATTTTATGAATTATATAACTTTTTAAATTTTCGCGTTCCATAATTATATAGGGGCTCTCCATCGCTTCGCTCGGGTTCGTTCCTAGGCACGTTTTAAACAGATATAAATAGTTATTAGCCAGCGTTAGCATAGAAAAAAAATATGTACTTTTCCGATATTTTAATATTCTGCTATTCGGGGTAGAGACAAATCCAACAAATCAAAAACCATGATGAAAATTGGTCCAGCAGTTCTCGAGTTATAAGTGTTGTAACAAACCCGACTTTGTTTTATATGAATATATAGATTACACTATGGGACTTATTATAATTATTCCCGACGTTTCGACTGGGAACTTCGCGAATAAGGTATATAGCCACTAAGAAATTTACGCGTTTAAGTCCTGTAGTGTAATTATTATATATTTATGAATTAATTATAGTAGCAACATGTCGTCTCTTTGCCCAGATACATTGCTACGTAATTAGCTATAGCTTTTTGGAAATCTCTAATATACCACGTGAGCATCGTAGTATATAGGAATAAAAGTAGCTTAATAGCTACTGTCACTATCTGGCCCATAGCCTATGTCTACAAGGACTAAGGCGACCTGTTGCTCTGTCGCTGCATCAGAGAAGGATAAACCAACAAAATTTTCAATACTTTTACAATCCTATAACTTAAAAGCAAATGTATTATTAAGATATTGTAAAATATACTTAAAAACATTTTTTCGAGTAATTTTGTAGTTAATAAAATAAACTAGATTAAAATGTAACTAACTGGTAAAGTCCGCGTATCAAATTGTACATATATTAATAAATAATAGGTACTTATAATAATAATAAGTACAGATGAAAAATACAAAATCATTTTGCTTATCAATTTTAACGCGCCTGACACTGTCAATGATATGACCCAATTATACCAGGGAGCTATCAACGTCAAGGAAGCCACTTCCTGCGTTCAAGGGTTAGTTCGCGCCTAAATTCGCGGCCTCGCTCTGCTGCGTACTGAGCGTGCTGTGTATTGTGTTGGCCGCTCAAGGCGAAGCGCTAAAATATCTATTCATTTTATTTATAACGATTAAAATATAATTTTAACTGTTTACTGCACTTTATATACAGTTTTATAATAACGGTACATTTGTAATTGCCTTTAATAGATTGAAGGGAAATTTAATACAATGGAAATTGCATAGTTGAAAATGTAGAGTCAACTGTTTAGACTTTAGCAAACTAATATTTATTTACTACTAGCGATTCATCCTCGCTTCGCTCAGGTTCGTCCCTAGGTACGTTTTAACGATTAGCGTGGAATAGATATAACTTGTTTTCCCGTAGGAACGAAATAATCTCCCGCGGTAAAACGTAGCCTATGTCACTTTCCAGCCCTCTATCTTCACACAAAAAACACGACAATCTATCGCTTTATTTAGACGTGAAAAAAGGACAAATAAACAAACAAATAAAGTAACCTCAAATTGTATATCGTAGAAAGAGAAAGTGTCAAATATACAAATGCATTCAAGTAGTTTATATTAATTTGAAGGTTGCGTTCATAATTATAATGTAGTAGTAAGGAAAAAGAAAGATGTAATTTTTACGTTTTTCCGTGTTTTTTTTTCTAATTTTTCTCTTCATAAGAACCTTCCCCGGACTTCAAGCGAATATTTAAAAAAAATAGACTAATTAGTCCAGCCGTTATAAAGTTTTGCGCTTAGCAACATTCATTTTTATTTATATAGATTCTTTATAATATTTAATAAAGTTGATGCTATTGCACTACTCTCTACTGAAGTGAAAGAGACAGCGATAGATATTTAAAGAAAGGGAAGGAATGCGATAAGTATGAAATGAATGAATACCATGTGTAAGAAATGACGTCCCTCGTATGTAGTCTACGTGAAGTTACTAGGACATCATGAGGTATGCAGGTGAATATCAACCAGGGTTGCTACACGTTACATTGTATGATTTACATTGGATTATATTATTCAGTTTACATTTCTTTTTTTATCATTTACTCATTTTTAACTAAAATTTCAAGGCATAAATTAAAGAGTGCGAGTATTACGCGCGTGTACACGTACTCTCGCAAAAAGCAAAACTTTTTGTACGTTTTAATTTTTATGAAATTCAATTTATGTTTTAAATAATTAGGATTGGAGAGATACTAAAAAAAAATTTTTTTTTTTAATTAAAGAGGAAAATAATATTTTATTTTTATTCAATTTATATTTTGAAATATTTATATAATCGTTTAAATATTTTTTATTTATCTATTTATTCACTTCTGTAACAACTGTTTCCGTTACAAAAAAAAACCCTCATATGGCGCCCCTAAAGAAGTTTTACTTCAAAAATAGTGCTAATGTTCATTTGTTTAGTATTTTTCAGAATTGATATTTAAAAAATGAACATCAATGGCAATCTTAACGTATAAAGAGCGGACCTCTACAGAAGCAGAGTGTCATCTATTTCATGCGGCATGTAGCAACTAGGCGGACAGGAGCAGCTACAATAGCAAAATAAAGTCAAACTCAATCAATGGACAATCCTCTGGCAAAACCAGTTTGCGGAATGCTCTTGCTAGGGAAGGACGTCGTCGGAGTCCGCGGGGACAACACGTCGCACGTTAACATTGGACATAGTGAGATGCAATGTACCAGGACGTCAGGAGCGAGTAGGAGCGTTAGCAATAAGCAAAACATTGATCTCACCCATTCGGCCTTTGGCCCGCACTCGAGGGTGGACGTTTCTCGCTGGCCGCTACGGTCACGACGATCGCTAGACATTGGACAGTTGGGGACTATAAGTACCAGGATAACATACTTATGTTGGAGTCATTTCAGACAAATTTCAATCTACACTTGAATGCTTACTAACGAAAAAGATACTAGTAATCGTATCGAATGATGATTCATAATGTATATTCTTAATGTAGTATGAAAAAAAAACTAGATATTTGTGAAATATATCGATCTCTACAAAAAGTTAAAGCTTGTAGTGCTGTACTCATACTTAATAAGTATTTAAGAGATATTATATCAAGGTTTCAGATAGTTTAAAATTAGGTCTTTGGATACGTAATTACTTACAATTTATCGGAGAGTTAAATTTAATAGGTCAAAAATGGTGTACAGATTAAAAATTAAAATCACAATTTGTAGAGCTGAAAGCTCATAAGCAATATGACTCCAAAATTGTGTAATTTTTGATTTTATTTTACACCACAAATTGTTATGTACCCTGTAATTGTATACCTAATAATAAGAATGTAAAAAAATATTCTTATTATATGAGGGATGTAAAATAAAATGTTATGTATTAATGAGGTCGTGAGCCTGACTTCACTTTCAGTTATTTTAGGACTTTAAATGAAGTAGTAACAATAATAATTATAAACCCTCTTGTACATTTACCTATCTTTTGTATGTTTTCTTTTTTTTTGGTGTTTTATTGTACACAAAGATAGGAAAATGTAAAAGAGGCGGCCATATCGCTAAAAGAACGACTTGTTCCAGGCAATCTTTAGGTTTGGAAAATGTAGTACCACAGCTGATCATATAATACTATACTAGGTAGTAGGTACTAAGATAGAAGGAACGCGAATATTAAATAAAGGGATAGCAGGAGATGTATAAATTTGTAAATATTATATCTATTATAATATGTAGTAGGTATATAGATAAATAAAATTGAAATGTCTGTTTCTAATGCCGAAATAAAACTTTTTTACTAAATGCTTATGAACTTATATACGGTACTTATAAAAAAACCACAACGTTTAAAATTTTTGTCTGTCTGTTTGTTTGTTCAGGGTAATCTCTGAAACGGCTGGATGGATTTTGACGGGACTTTCACTGGCAAATAGCAGATAGTAACTAAGGCTACTTTTATTTAAGAAACAGAATTAGGGTCCCGCTCAAAAAAAATAAAAGGTCGCTAGGACGCGTATAAGCGGGAACAAGCCTATGTGCTATTCGAGACTATAATCTATCTCTGTGCCAAATTTCATGCAGATCCGCTTGGCTGTTCTGGCTTGAAAGACTAACAGACATCCAAACTTTCTCATTTATATAGTAGTAAGAGATATACTTCAACAACGTATGTAAAACAAAAGCTGTGCGTATGTACATACATATATACATAATTATATCGTCTACTACATAAAACTTCGCCAGTATAATTGACTATAAAGTGGTTAAAAAGAAAAAAAAACAAAAGCCTGGACTCTAGATGCAGCGCTTAGCAGTACTAATTACCTGTTTTCAAAGAAATAATAATCATAATACATTACACCATAGTGACTTATTGCATAAATTATTTGTCTACAGTTATTTTACAATTTATCAATTTACTTTATAATCGTGAATAATGAAAATCTTAGAGATTAATGAAAGCCTCATCAATAATTCACTACAAATCAAGTTAGGCTTCCTTCCAGTCCAGACAGATAGAATATGTCGTATTTTATTTTTGCCTTTTTTAGCCATCACAATTTTGAGAGGAGTTGCCATGGAAACGATCGAAGCCGGTTTTTCAACAGAACAACTGGTGACGTAACTATGAATACTAGGACGGCATGAGACCTGTGCAGGTAGATTTATCAAAGTGGGGTTGCGATTGCGATGAAATAACGATTCATAATGAATTTAATGTGCATGGAATAAAGTACATTTTTATTTGAGTGTTATTTTAACGTACTATGACGTTACCGCACTGATCGAAGGTGGGCGGTCGCCTAGTGTTGATACTGCGCGCGTACTCCTGCCAGCGGCGGACACACTCTGTGACGTCCCGCTGGTCGCCCCACACTCCTTGCGTGTACGTGAAGTACACCGCGCCTACCAGGACGCCAGCCTGCGCATAGAGTACAACTCACGATCGCATCACTAGCTACTAATAGCGATGAAATGCTAAAGTGTTTAATATTGTGATATTATAAAAAATAATAAAAAATATAATATTATTAAAAAAAAAACTTAATACGTCCCTTAGGACATTTCGCCACATACCATAACCCATGAGAAACCTAATGCACCGAGATGAAAAATAACTATCCATTATATCTCCTCACATAATAATATCAAACCATATTTGTTTCTTTAAAATAAAGATAAAGAAATAAAGTGACATTCATATTTACAATATGTATTAGTAGTCAGTATGTACTTACTTTGACAGCGTACATGAGCTTGCCGTGCGCATAGGGTAGAGGCATTTTTGGTAGCGCTAGCTTCTTGCCGCTTTTCCTTAGTTTGTATTCTTCCTTGTCGCATACTTTAATGCAAGTAGGACGAATAGGCAGTTCTAGACGTAAAAACGTTATATTAATAAATTAATGTTTTAAAGTGAACAATAAACTTGACTAATAAAATATATGATATAGAACATTTACCTTACAACTACTAATTCATTTTTATTATAATTAATATCATTATTAAATGCAAAAGAAGTCCTTTGTTTTTTTTTTAATAAAATATACAACAAATGATATCAAACACACACAGTAATATATTATTATTGAAATTACTAGAGACTCACCCTCGTTTCGCTCGAGGTCGTCCTTAGGTTGATTCCCCATACAAACTTTCATCCCCATTTTCACCCCCTTGAGGGATGATTTTCAGAATAAAAAATGTCCTATGTCCTTTCTAGGGTCTCAATCTATCTTCTTACCAAATTTCATCCAAATCGGTTCAGTAGTTTTTGAGTTTATTCGTTACAAACATACGCAAATACAAATCTATCCTCTTTTAAAAAATATTAGTGTAGAATATTAGTGATTTAGCTAGCACTCATTTAAAGAGGAAGGCCAACCATTATTAGAAAGAGAGCAAAATTTGGGAACATGGATCGTTACATAATTTGTAATATTCACCAGGACGACATAGCCGCAGAGAGCTGCGTAAGTACAATGTAACTACACTCTACATACAGTTGTATCGTTCGTGTAACGTGGAGAGAAAGAGATAACAATCTCGTGTAACTTACTGATTGCGGCATTGTAAGACTGCAGCGTGGTTACTAAACTTCGCTGGAAGTTGGAACTTATCGTATAGATGGAAGAGTGGAGGTTAATTATTTCGCCTTTTTAGATATTAAGGCAAACCTGATTTTTAGGTTTTGAATTTTTTTGATTTATATATCTTTACTAGCGACTCACCCTGACTACGCTCGGGTTCGTCCCTAGTTTAACATTTCTCAGAAATGATATATTTTCCCGCAGTACAAAGTATCCTATATGTTGACCCGGGTAATCAGCTATCATCATATTAAATTTCATTTAAATGTGTCCAGTGGTTTTCTCGTGATGCGTTCCCAGATAGACGGAAAGAGAAAAAACCTAAAAACTATACATTCGGCCTCTGTATCGATAATAATGACTATTTCAATAAGATTTTTCAAAAAATATTTAATGTACACATTCGACTCAGAATTTTATTATATGTCTGGATTTGTCAATAATATTTGTTTCTAACGAAATTAAAAAATCTAAACTAAATCAAGATATTTTGTCAGGCAAAAATTAAGGAAAAACACAACTAATATGTAACTTGCCTCATCAAAATGGGAATATTATAACTTTAAACTTATAATTTCATTCTTCAATATTACATATATTGTCATTACTCACGTACAATTTTATATTGCTATATAGATATTTATATCAACCGTGGTTATTTATAATAGAAATATAGTTAGTAGTATGTTAGTTTGTATTAACACAGACGACATGATACTATAATCAATATTATTAGTGACAATTTATAACTGATTAACGTACGGTAGGTGGCAGGTGAATTGTTTGGAATAAATAAGGGCCTAAACAAAACAAATACATTGCTTGTAATTTAAATATATGTTTGTGTGTTCCGTTAGTATATTTATGAACCAAATAACATATACATATATCGCTTAAATTCATTCATGTCTTCCTCGCAATATTTGACACTGGCAGAATTTATTGCGTCTGTTAACGTAACTCTAAGCTATTAAAGAAAAAAACATACATATAAAATCAAAAAGTCTAGAGACACGGTAGGTGGCTGTGTTTAAGCTGTTAATAAATTTTATGCTCTCAAAAGGGCAGAACAGCCTGTGGGCTCGCTAGTATACCTATTATATAAATTAAATGCTTTTGAATATGTATTAAATCAGTTACCCGGTACACGAGGACAGTAGATTTTATGTGCAGGACTGCATTTATCATACATCTGCATGTCTGGTTTAGGATGGCTCACGTGCTTCGCTAGATTGATGGTGCGGCACGCCTCACACCTTATGCGATCCGGGTTTAGATTTTCGCACATTTTTAATAATTTATCTTTAATTATTATTAAAATTAAATATAAATTTCAACGGTTTAATTTTGACATATTAATTTGACATCAATTTTTTTTTCTTCTTTCGATTGATTTATTTCTGTAATGTCGGAAGAGTTATACGATACCTCACGTTATAGTAAATGTGCCCTATTTAGCAAAGAGTTCTCATTTTTCTGTAACAATCATCTGGACTTTTCTTACTGTGTTTGACCGACTTCAAGAACGGAGGAGGTTTTAAATTCAGGTTATTTTTCTTGTGCGAATGCTACTAGATATCTACACCAAATTCCAAACCATTTAAATTATTTTTTTAATTAATAAATTCAAGAAAAGTTCCTCTCAAGATATCAATAGTCTGCCTCCAGCGATTAATTTTATAATAGTTACTTATTATTATGTCAGTAAAATATGTAAAATAAAAGTACTTGATGAGGTTTCACATCATTTTTTTAATTCAAGCTTTATTTAAAAAAATCATGTAGTAGGGTAAGCGCTCACCAGGACCGAGACGGATGCGAGCGATACGCGGCCCACGCGCCAGAGCATCCGCTCGTTGCGCAAAAGCATTGCTTCCGCGCTTTACTAGCCTAGATAACGTTCTAATTGCGAAATTTTGCCAAAATTTTGTACCTTTAACTAGCCATTATGTAAGTTATTATTAACTATGAATATGTGAAGATTCAAGTAAAACTAAAAAAATATATTTTATTTTTAATTTTTTGTATGAGCTGTAGTACAAAGTAGTTAAGTTACATTCTGATTATTTGACCTATTTATCCGTAGAATATTCAATTTAATGGAATAATAATAGATGAATAAAGTATTAGCAGTTTTCTTGTGTGACATGAGAAATGTGCATTCTCTCTCTCTCAAGCTCTATTATTTTTTTTATTTATAAAATCTATCCCACGGGTATCGTCAATTTTCCGGGATAAAAAGTAGCTTATGTGCTATTCCACACTATAATCTATTACTGTATCAAATTTCATCCAGATCCGTTCAGTCGTTCTGGCGTGATTGAGTGAGAAACATACAAGCATCCAAACATCTAAACTTTTACATTTATAATATTAGTAAGTTTTTAATTTTTTCTATATTCAATGGATCTTCTTGGCTGTGACAACGTATTTCATACTGATACAAATAATCGTTAAGAAGGATTTTTTTAATTAAATAATATGTAGCAAAGTCTGCTATTTTAAACCTGAAATTTAGGAAATAAAAATAAAAGGTCGGCAAAGCCGGAGGCGATTTCTGTAATAAAGCATCGGGAATCAAAAATCAAAACAAAATGTGGAATAGTTCATAAAGATAGTTTCGTTTCAATTTCTTATATATTGATAGCAAATTTCTAACTTTGCATAAAGATAAAGTTGACTAACATCAATGTGAACGCTTGACTTTAGCAAAAATACGTAATTTATTACATATGGGCGGGTCATTATTAAAGATACAAGATGTTTCTGCTGTTTGATGTCTTATCAACAAGTTGTAATTGATGGATGTTTTGACTTTTGACGCATTGTACACCTTATCTGCTACATCCCTTGACGTAATGTCGATGACTATAGAATTTGTATAGAGTGCCTGCTGAAGACCAACATTTACTTGAGAAGACATTACAAAATGTTCTGCTGAATTAGGGCTCTTCCGCTTGTTATGGGTTCCCTTATTAAAATAAAAGAATGTACAAATTTACAACACTATATTAGATTCTAAGGCTACACAAATAACAATTTACTAATAGGTACTAATAAAACTAACTACAAGTAATACTTAACCTAGCTATTTACAAATTATAATAATGCTACTTAGATCTAAAGAATATGAAGGGCGCCAGGAGAGTTTTTTGGGGCTGCACAGCTGATCACAGCCTTTGCGTGGAACTCTGCCAAAACCTAGCCACGGCTATCCCAGTTTACAGGGATTCTTATTGGGATTGTATTCCAGCACCTTAAGGGCGTTACGTTAGGCTACAAATAGAAAATACACATATTGAGACATAATATGATAATATTGCATCATGCTGTGCCTAACGGTCAAATGAACTTATATGATACACTTACCCCTTTTGTGCACAATTATTCCCAAGGTATATTACTTATATACTTCGTATTTCGTTACGGCAATGAATTAAATTTAACGAAATAAATATTTCTTACTACGATCTTCAAAACGATCACAAATTGCATAAACTTAATCTTAAGGATGTGAACACCGAGCACACGTTCATCACGGCTCGCTCCTTATACCGCAATCATCTATCTCATGTCATTCCTATAGTAAAAAGACACTTACCGACACAATAGCTAAAAATTAACAAAATCAGGAAAAGTAAGCCGCGCGTGGGATTTGAACTCGTGTCGCATAGTACGTAACATTTAAACTGTAGCCGAACTCGCTGAGCTATCATAACTTAGTAAATTAAAATGAATTTACTGGTCATTATGTGTACTCATAACATTCCCTCAACCTACCAAAAAAAAAATATAAATTATTAAGTTTAATAATTTATGTTATTAATTAAAATACCTGGTTTATATATTTTTTTTTTCACTCCATAAGGGTTTCAAGTCTTTTGCATGCCAAACTCCTAGTGATTTCCCAAAAGCATTATTTAAATGATAAACATTTTCAGACCGTTTGTCTGTAATAATGGCCTTTTCATATTTTGGTGCCAGTTTAGCCATGAATTTATTTCTCGCCTTAGAGAGAAATTTAGTTTTCTTCCATACTACATCCCCTACTTGAAACTTAGCTTCCTTATGATTTCTGTTATAAATTTCTAGACTTCTTTGATGTGACATTTCTAGCTTACGTTTAACTGTACTGTATATCATAGGTCGATTCTTCAGTTCTGTAAGATACTCATCGGTTTTAATTACAACAGGCTTCTGCGAAGTAAGGGGTAATGTTGTGGTGTTATGATTTATACCTGTTGGAATTGATGTTTCTCTTCCAAAGAACAAGAAAGCTGGCGTAAATTGCGTTGTTTCATGAACTGCTGTCCTGATAGAATGTGCAAATTTCTGTAAGTGAACATCCCATTCATTGTGTTTTTTCGAGTTAACGAACGACGATATCATAGTGCCAATCACTCTATTTACTCGTTCTGTAGGGTTGCTTTGAGGGTGGTAGCTTGGCGTATACCAAATTTGACTATGATATTTATTGACTAGTTCCTTAAAAAAATGTGACTCAAACTGCTTGCCGTTATCACAAATTATAGCTTGGGGAATGCCAAATAGGAGAAATTGATTTTCCACTATCTCACAAATTTTATCCGCTTTACCATTTCTTAATGGAAATAATAATACAAATTTACTAAACATACAGGTTAGCACCAATAACATGGTATTTCCTCTCTTGCTTTTAGGAAAAGGACCCATTAAATCTAATGAAATTACTTGCCAAGGTCTTGTAACAGTTCTGTGTTTTCCCATGCGGCCATATGGTAACTCTTGCGATACTTTCATTTTTGCACAAACCTCACATTTTCCAACATGGTTCTTCACATCCTTCAACATATTAGGCCAAAAGTAATATTGCTTTATTTTAAATAATGTTTTCCGAACACCGAAGTGACCAGCCGTGGCGTCATCATGGCATTGTTTTAAAATTTGAGTCCGCAATGAATTTGGAATGTATAATTTCCAATCATTAGTTGGATCAGGATACTGTTTTAAACATATTTTCCTGTATAAAAGCCCATTTTCAACTTTCCAAGCCGAGTCCTGTAAATCACTATTCAATATTTTAATTACTTTATTTTTATACCAGTCATCCTTATGCTTATCCATAATTTCTGTACTATTTATTTTCCTATCTATTATTGTATCTATTGACCTAGATAAGGCATCTGGTACTATATTTGATTTACCTGGTTTATGCACTACATCAAAACTAAATTGTTGCAATTTCATAGCCCATCTCGCTAGTCTACCATGCGGATCTTTCATTTTGTGCAGCATTTTAAGGGCACTATGATCTGTTATAACTGTAAAACTAACACCTTCGATATATGGCCTAAATTTTTCTATGGCAAAAACTATGCTCAAAAGCTCTCGTTCTGAAGTTGAATATAACTGTTCACGATCATTCAACTTTCTGCTTAGATATGCAATAGGTCGCTCCTCTTTATTAATAATTTGGCATAAAACAGCTCCAATTCCTTTGGTCGACGCATCACATTGTATCACAAATGGTTTGGTAAAATCTGGACATGAAATGACAGGTGTGGACGTAAGCAACGTCTTAAGTTTTAAAAACGCCTTTTCGGCTTCATCATTCCAGCAAAATCTTTTATTTTTCTTGCCTTTCGTCAGATTATGAAGAGGAGCAGCAACAATGGAGAAGTTTTTTACAAATCTTCTATACCAACTAGCGATTCCTATGAATCTCTTCAACTCAGTTAAATTTTTTGGTCTCGGGAAATTCAATATAGCTGTGACTTTATCTGGATCAGTGCGTAAGCCATCTTTGTCTACAATATAACCCAAAAATCGTAAACTAGATCGAGCAAATTTACATTTCTCTACATTTATTGTCAGACCAGCATTTTTTAATATATTCATGACTTGTTTTAAAATAATTAAATGTTCGTCAAAGGTTTCCGAACAAACTACGATGTCATCGAGGTAAGCCCAAACTTTTCCGTCTAAAACATGAAATAACATATCCATCAACCTTTGTTGTGTCTGTGAGGCGTTAACCAAGCCAAATGGCATAACTTTAAAGTGAAATAAGCCTCTTCCAGGTACAGCAAAAGCTGTTTTTTCTTTACTTGAGTCTTCCAACTGAATTTGCCAAAAGGCTGACTTTAAATCAAAAGTGCTTAGAAATTTCGCATTCCGTAAATTATCTATAATAGAAGCGACTCGTGGTAGTGGATAAGTATCTCTCTTAGTGACTTTGTTTAGCTGCCTACTATCCAAACAAAGCCTATTAGTACCATCTGCTTTTTTAACTAATACTATAGGGGAGCA